CGCACTGCATTCCAGGCGGATCTACGGGGAGGGCTTTCGGGCTGAACCTCCTCCCAAAATGGTAAAACATAATCATATTTTACAGAAAAAAATATTAAAAACTATCTCTTAAAGTATTCTTGTTCGTTTAGTTACATTTAATAGGACTTCAAGAACCACTTAAATGCCATTTCATACAGGTAATTAATTTCTTTCTTTTTTTCAAATTAATTATTTTACGTTATACGTATATGAAAAAAAAATCTATCGGGCTGAAGCCCACCTCCCCTCCAAAATTAAATCCTGGATCCGCTAGTGCACTGCATAATAATCATTTTTTTAATATAGCTTTTGGAGAAAATAAATTATTTTCTCAGAACATTAAAGTTATAAAAAACATTTACATGAAAATTTCCGTTGAAAAAAAGTTCTATACCTGAATTAGAAACAGTAAAATCAATCAAAAATAAAAGTTCAAGCTATATCAGAACTGATTAAAAATAAAAGTTGAAAAAACCTTTCATACTCTATTGTTGGATGTTTCAATGAAATTCAAGTGTTGTAATTAGTTGTAAAATTATCTTCGATTTCCACTAATAAAATAATGGAAACAATTTATACAAGCTTTACAAAAAAAAAAAAAAAAAAAAATGAAAATTAAAAAATGGGACTTACCTTAGTGATTGAACTCGCTGCACTACTGATCAAGATGTTTACTTTATTTTCTCGACGACGAAAGTCAAGTTACGATTAATTATTCAAATAAAATTCATTTATACACCCTGGGAGTTGCGGTATTACGGGTTCTTACTCATAAATACGCAATAACCTTATTAATATCATTATGAAAACATGTTAGCGAGGTTAATTCTGTAGGAACGAACTCATGTTAGTTATCATTTACATATAATAGTTGACCATTTCTTTTACTTTATTTGTTTTTAACAATAATATTTTCCAAGATTAAAATCTGCGTGATTGGTATAGCCTTCTTGTTATTTAGATGAATAACAAAATATAGGTTAATATAGCTTGGGAGCTAAGAAGCCCATGTTAATTTCCTGATTCACTTAACGTGATCTGTGAGACTTTTTAATCAGGTTGAGCTAAACCTTGTTTATTTTCTATCTTAGCATAGCAGAGAAGATTAAAGTCGGTACTAAACTAAAAAAAATATTAAATAATTGTCTTCAGTCTTAAACAGAACGGAAACAATAATTAATCAATAGATAACTCTCAAATTTATTAATAAATTCAATTTGTAGGTTTTTAAAATAGTTTAGCGATTCATGGGCATAAACTACCAATGGTATTTTTATTTTGAAAAATGTAGCTTGTAATAAATTTAAAATTACATATAAATAGAGTTAAATAAACATAACCTAATGATAGGAGGTTTTAGTGATATTGGTATTATAACTTGAAAAATTCAGCCTAAATGAGTTTTATTTTATTTTAATATAGGTATATAAAGATAAAAATAATAATGAGCAAGTTTATTAAGGATATGATGATTGCTTTTGTCTGTTAAAGGTTTCTTCCCTTGAAAATGGCCTAAGGGCTGAAACGTTGTTGTAAAGGAAAGAATTCAGTAGGACTAATGGGATATAATAATTACTTTTATTTGAATAATAAATTGTATTTTTATATAGTTTATATATTAAAGAAATCGTGAGGGGGGATGTGTTGAGAATCTAAAGCTATATAACAGAACTCCCATTTTTTTCCGTCAGCAAATTTAATGGTTGGACCTCCATCATTCCTAACACACAGTCCACCAATACCAGATCAAACAAATAATTTGCCTACGTAGTTTGTATGTTTTAATAGAACTCTGTAGCTTCTAGGTAGATCATGAAGTCCGTATAACATCTGTTTTCTTTCTTCCAAACGTACTTTTCTTTAAAGAATAACAACAGATTTTTTTGTTTTTATATCTCGTTCACCAATTGTGTCGTTGTTATTCATTTTATAAAACATTTTTTTTTAGATTTGAACTCATTTCATTCTTAATGTACTATATATTGTAATCCAGAGATCGGCAAACTCATCAATCAAAAAAGCGTTTTATCAACATTGCAACAATTGAAATTTATTTTGAGATATTTTTAAATTTTTTTTTGTTAACTTGTTTTCTTTTACTTAATTAGGGTACTCCTAAGCTAACTTCTGTTAAAAACACCTTCAATCTTATTGGACTACATTCTGTCATCTCGAATATTTCCAACATTCCCATCCCATACTCGTCTTTTATATTTATACCATCCTCGGATTTCCATTTTTTTTTTTTTGTTGCATTTATTTTTTTAAGAGTATATATTGAGTAATAAGCACTTATGAAATAATTTATTTATAAATAACTGGAATAAATACATGGAAATCTTACTATATGATTTCAATGTTAATGTTAATTTTATTTCAGTTTCTATATTTTCTTTGGTTCATTGAGATTATGGTGATTTCTCGCTTATTGAACAGTATAAAAGAAATAGATTGCTCATTTGTTCAATTAATTTTTAAGTAATTAAGTACGATTATTTCTGAAACTACTAATTTCACTAATTACAGTATTTTTCCCCCTGACATTTATGGGGATGTTTTTTTGTTTTTTTTAATCTGGTGGAGAAACTATTCTTCAAAATAGATAGCTAAATCATTGGCTTTAATATAGATTGAGGAAAAACTGACAAAAAAAATACTTTAAAGAAATAAAATATAGATATAATTCGACGGGATTTGTATTTCTTTATTGAAAGTAACAGCTATTTATTTATTTAAAAATTTAATCTTGACCAGTAACTGGTGGCTGAGCTGAGAAAGAGTGTGGTTACAGAAATAGAATGGAAGAGTCATTCCATTCACTTTTAATTTACGACCAGGGTATAAATGAGAAGTAATTAAATAAAGCATGAGAATAACTTGAGAGGGAAATTAGCTAATCGGTAGCTCTTCAATTGACTAAAATTATGAACTCGTAGTTATTTTATACCTTGTAAATTTCGGTTTATTATGTGGTTGGTTGCCTGGCAACGCCTGTTTTGCCTACGCGTTAGCACTTCACTCTCCTCTCTCTTAAAATAATAAATAAATATAGATATATCTCATAAGTTTTTTCTATCCACAAAAAACTTTCACTTACCTATCTACGTTCAATAGAATTTATTTTCTGTCAATGATGAGCAGTTATAAAATTGTTGAAGTCCACTTTTAACGGAGCTAAAGCTTAAAGTTTACAGCTAATAAATCATTAACACCATTGAAATAACAACACCCTATTAATTATAACAACAGTAGACAATAAAAACCTCGGTATTACATCTGTTTTTGTAAACCACATAACTCCAGTCTCTGAGCAATATATCTATATGCCTAAAGAGATTTGAAAGTATATCTCTATATTCAACCTATAAATGGATTGTAAGCCTATTAGTTATTAAACTGTTCCATTGCAAAGTATACTAAAATGAAATTACGAGATTTTTATTGCCTGCCATAGATAGATCAAAAGTTGTCACACTAATTTTAAGTGGATAATGTTTGGAATTCACAGTAAGAAAATTCATCAAATTATTCACCAATTTGAATTTTTTAAAGGTTACATGACGATTTTTCGGATTAAACGGACGTTGATACCTAATTATTTATATAAAATATCAGATCTAGAGTTATTAAACTACAGTAAATGTATTTAAGGTTATAAACATATGCTTCATACATCCGCCCATGAAATATTTTTATATTTCACTTCTTCTTTCACATAATTACTATGAAATAGTTTTTTAAACAATATCATTGCCTTTTTTTAGTTACAATACCGTTTAGTTAGTAAATTTCCTTGAAAACATGTGGTTTTCGTTAAATAATATCAGTTTTGACAAATTATTATTTATAATTTTTTCGTCATTCTCCATCACTTTCTACGAATTTCTATATTTGATATTGTTTTATCTGAAATTCTCCGCTTTCCAACGATATATTATACGCATACCTTCTGACAAGTATTTCCGGAAATTCAACCTAAATTTCGACTTAAAGGTCGGAAATTTCGACCTAAATAAACATTTTCCCGTTTATCTACATTTTTCAATTATCAAATTCTTTCAAAAGTTATATTTAGCATTTTTTCGTAACTCTTAATAATGAGAGATGATTAATTATTTGAAAAAAAAACAGTTTACTGTCTCCCTTTCCCCTCCATCAAAACCCGACACGGAATACTTCAGGACAGAAATAATGTAAAAATATAATTATTTATTAAAATTTATATAATGAGGAGATAAGTAATTACTGTTATATGTATAAATTATAAATTTTAATATTTCTATAATTTTTCAAATTGTATTTATTTAAAATTTTCAGACTAAAAAATGACCTTAGTACAGGGAAAAAAACATTGTCTGTTAAAATAATAATATAAATAAACCTATGGTGATCAAATAGCTATATGCTTTGAATAGAATAAGAAGCCAGAAATAGGAAATATGGGTCAAAATAAAGAAAACAAAATTACTTCTCTGTCATTTTCCTCTTCACATCAAACCCTACGTGTGTGATACCCTAGACTTTTCATCAGTAATAATTATAAGAGGCTAAGGAACAATTTTTTTATTAACTATAGATATACGCATGCTTCTACAATTTATATAATCAAGAGTGAAATTATTAGGTTACCATAAACATATGGTAAAAAAAATCTTATTTAAAAACAATTAAAATATAAAAAGTCAAATTGTTTTTTTTTTCTTGAAAGAAAAATAGAAACCTACCCAATTGTTTTTAAGTTAATTGTCAAGTTAAAATAGAAAATGATTTATGGTATTTTTTAAATTTTACTGGTTAATTAGCTATTTGTTTGAAGACGTGTAGGTTTTGATTTTGTCTTTTAGTAATTTAGAACCTTTGAATCTTGAGCTTCAACGATGACGAAGCTGCTGCCCCTCCACGCTCAACAAGGAGAGGGTTGCGTTGAGATCTAGTAGTTGGCACGAGGTTGCCGTGCTCTGCTCCTGTGTGTTGTAGATATGTTCGCGTCTGTGATTAATCTTTTGAATTTCATTTTTCCTGTGATTTTAACTCCATTTTTCTTTTTTATACTCGGTCTTGTTTCTCTCGGCTCTATTGGAAAGTCCTTAGGTGTGCGTAGGGCATATGTGAAGCTTCTGGTCAAGATATTTGAGGTTAATTTCTTTTTCAATGAATCTATATAGAATTAGAAAATTGTGATGACTTTTTTATCGTGTCTGTGTTGTATACTAGAAAGGTGTTTTAGTGTTATTCTTAGTATTATTCTTGTTAACCTTAACTTTCTAAGTGTTCTTTAATCATTGAATACCATAGCAAAAATTTAATTACTGACTTATTTTTCAATCTTTAAACTTATTAAAAGAAAACAAATAATAAGAACGTTACATAGGCAGTTAATTATTACCATTAAAGCCATTTGTAACAACCTTGACCTCTCTTAATGTGTTGAGAATTCTGATAAATTGTTATCAAATGCATTTCTTACAGTTTGGTCGAAAAACAATAGAAGCCGAAGGGAAATGGAATATTCATACACCACCCTTGACATCAGAAAACAAGGTTGAATCTAATGGAACCACTGTTATATCAAGGGAAGACCTAATCTTAGTTCCTGATCCTGAACAAAACTATTTAGGAAACAACAATCTTGAAGTTCCTCAGGTACGATTAGATTTTTTTTAAATTGTTTTACACATAATTTACTTATTTTTTAGTCTTTTGAGCTAAGCCCCATATGAATTAGTGAGTTCTAAACAAAATTATGGCACATCTCTTTCTACCTTTAAGATTTATTTGTTTCTAAATATATTTCTCAATAAAATGTAATTTAAATACTTATTATAAATGGTGCAATAAGTTTTTTTTTTTCTAACGCTCCCCATTTTTATATACCTGCCTGTTTCTTTAGAGTTCTTTGACATTGAAAATTCTCCAACATAACCTTCATTTTTCAGGAAGAAGATGACAAAGGTGGATTGCCAAGGAGACCGTCTTTTGAAACTCTAAAAAAGGGATTTCAGCTCTCCGATTGTCTTGATTATATTAAAACAGGCGTTGAAGCAATTATTGAAGACCAAGTTACATCCAGATTTGAAGCTGAGGAATTAAAAGTACTTATTATTATTTTTTTTTTATTCATAATAGTTATCCATGTGAGCAATGCACTAAACTACTTTTATACTTTTTTTAGTCATGGAATCTTTTAACCAGAACGAATAGACAGTATGAATTCATCAGCTGGAAACTTTCTTTTATATGGGTCACAGGATTTTTCATCAGATATTTTTTTCTTCTTCCTATGAGAATTCTAATCTGTTTTTTTGGAGTAAGGCACTTTTTGTTTTTATTTTAACTCTATCTTATCTAAGTGTTGAAAAAACACTTCTGACAACTATGACAACACCTAAAAAAACGTTGATAACCTAAGACTATAAGTACTTAAGGTATTCTTGATGCAATAAATTTCGAATGTAAAATCTTTACAAATATTAGGAAATTAAAAATATATATAAACATTTACTTTTTAAAGGTAAATAAATCTATTTATAACTTATTTTATATTTTGGAATTAAAGAAAACTATTTTATTAAAATATTTTTGAGTTAACATGTCATCATTAATTTGTTCTTGTATGATCAGTTTTTATCAGTCGGAACTTTAACACAATTATCTATTGTTTTGAAAGCATACGATTTTTTGTTTCTTTTGTTATTTAACTTCACAGTATTAACTGGTTTCAAAACTTTGTATTATATTTATATTTTAGAATGGCAGAAAATTTGAACAAAATAATCAACAAAACTTATATAGCAAACACAAGGAAAACATAATAGAAAAAAAAATCATGCTCTATTTTCTAACACCATGACATACATCCATTTATTTATATCTGAATAAAAGAAATTTTTTCGAGAAGATTTTTTTATTTTATATATAAATCTGTAAACAAATGATTTAATCCGCTATAAAATAGCATGAAAAAAAAAATATAGAACTTTGAAATATTTATAACAGGTCATATAATCAATTTTAATTATAATAATACTATATATCTCAGCTTTGAATATATATATATATATCCATGTTTTGAAGTAGCTGGAAAATCATCCTTATGTTTAGTAATAGGAGAAGGGGCGTTATTATGGATATGAAGAATTGTAGTATCATCCAGTTTTCAATGTCTAATGTTTAATCATAGCTTGGTCTTCATCATTCTCCTAATTAGAAGGCACTTTTTACTTAATTTTCACATGTGAGGCTCTGCTTATAAATACTTGAATATCTACTTCCTCTTTCAGTTTTGCATATATTATAGTTTTTTTAATAAGATTGTCTATACAAGGCCGCAAGAAGATTTGTATCTTCTCTTACAATTCCTTCTCAGTTGAATCCATTAAACTTGAATATAAATACGATCACAAATGAATTTTTTTATACTATTAAAATCATTATATATAAGTAAAAAAAAAAAATTAAAGAAAAATATATTTTTTATAAAAGGATCTGATTGATTGTATTGACAAATGTATAGTATAAATTGATATTAGAAGTTTAATTTTTAGTTATTAGTATAAATTCATTGATTTTGTAGGTACTATGGTTAACATTTTGTACTGCCATTGTTGGATACATTCCTGAAGGTGCGTTCAAGAGGTGGACTAATAGAAAGGTGTCGATTCTCTGTTTTAATATCCTTTCTTCTGCCTTGTCATCAGTTGTCACTTATCATAATCCCCAAAATAGGCCAAAGAAAGGAATATGTGTTGCAAATCATACGTCCCCAATTGATGCCCTTGTGCTGATGTGTGATAATTCATATTCTCTTGTAAGTATTCTGTATTTTATATTTGCAATTAGTTTTAAAATAGCTTGAAAGGAATAGAATTATGTATTAAGTTTGTTTTTAATTTACATTAAAAAGCAATGTTCTTTATTTTTTGTCCTATAAAATTATGGGATTTGCTAGTCTAGTACCTTTTATAATCATGCAAATTTATTGCATCTTCTTAAAACGAATTAATTCTTTGGAAACAATGTAAAGAAACTATTCTTTCATTGTTGTTTATTTTGATTAGTTTCATAATAATTACTCACATGATTCATCTGATGAAAATTAAATTACTAGATTGGACAGAGGCATGGTGGTTTCCTTGGTGTTCTTCAAAGAGCACTCGCCAGATCTTCACCACATATTTGGTTCGAGAGGTCTGAAGTAAAAGATAGGGAAACTGTTGCTGCAAGGTATGTACATTTTTCTGACCATAAATAATGAGTTGAATAACATGAAATATAAAAAAAAAACATTCTACTAAATTTAATAACTATTTAGAGACCTTATAATGTCACCGAAAGTATGAAATAGAACTTCATAAATAAAAACAGCATTATGCTATTAAATCCTTAGTTCATTAAATTATTATTTTATAAATTTTTAAATCTATATTCCCGTCAATGGAAAAGCTAATCTTCTTAACTATTATATGGCAGCAATTTATTTTTATTTTCTGTTTGTATTTGATGCTCAAATAGTCTTAAGTTCAATTAATATTTAGTCTCATCATGAAATAATTTAGAATCGAAGCGTATGGCATCTATATTGTGTCAATTGATAGTTATTAAAATATTTGTAATTATGGTCTAAATCAAGCCTTGCCAAACCACCAAACAGATCTGAAATTTTATATTGTCATTGTTGTTTATACTAGGAATACTAAATGAATGAAAATTTGAAAGTGTCTTTTTTATAATTTGAAAGTACGACTATAAACTCCAGGTTTTATTAGATATCCACTACTGACAAATTTTATTTAAAGATTGTGGAAATTTTAATGTAAGTAAGAATAACCAAATATCTCATTAATTAAAACTCAAAAGTTAATTATATTTAATCTTCTTATATTAAAATAATATTTTATTACAGTTTTTAATAGTGCGTTTATCTTAAGTGCAGCCCGCAGTTACATTGTGAGAAATTATAATGACCCCTTAAGCCGTTATGCCTGGTCTAAGAATGAAATTTATTTTTCAAAACAATTAATCTGTTAAAATACAATTGTGTTTGCATTACTTTAAAAGTCTCTTGAATATAGGTTAAAAACAAATTCTATAATAATGATTCAATGATCTAAATTTTAATTTCATAGTATAATATTTTTAATAATACGATGGATTGATTGCTTAGTTTATTAGTAGATTATTTACAAATCCCGAAACTTCTATATAGATAATAATTAATGAAGTACTAAAGCATTGAATAATAAGTATTGTAATGAAAGTTATTTTATGTATTCACTCTTATTTAGGTATTAATACAAACTAGGTACAACCAATAATGAAAATATATGTGTGCACCTTTTGCAGATATGTCTATCTGTAAAGATATAATCCCATTTCCTCTTTTACCTCTTTATGATATTTTTTTTCATTGAAAATTACTTTGATTCTTTTGAGTTATTCTTTATGATTTCCACCGCAAATTTTTTTTTTTACACGTAATCTTACAACTTGGTGTTATTTATTCATGAATCTGACCAATGCCTTATATATATGTCCAATAACAATTATAGGAAATAATAGTAAAATATTTATTATTAAAAAGAAGGTAATTGCAATAAGTATAAGAGCTTATTACAACAACTTATTGTTATGTTGACTTGAACCTTCATCTTGAAGTGAAAGTAAATTATTTTTAGCTTAAGCTACCATAAATAAATCAGCCTTGACTAATTGGCTCATTATTTTTGTTTAAACCAGACTATACAAGTTGATAATTATCATTCAAAATATAATTGTAAAAATGTACTTTTTTTATATAATGATGTATTTTTAAAAAACATCTGGTTACTGGCATTCATTCTACATTAATTTTAATTAATATATTTTTATCTTTATCACCTTTTGCTGGATTTAATAAAATGAAAGTAGATTCTAGAAAAAAACAAAACTATTATTATTGTTTTGAATTATTGTAAAAAAGCGGTTTTTAAAATAAAATAAATTTCTTTATGATAAAAATATGATGTCTTTATCTATTCTCTTGTCAAAATCTCTTGATCTCCTTAGGGCTTTGATAGGATGTTCATTTGGTGAAAGAACGTATTTGTTTTTAATCAGTAAATCTTCTCTTCTCAAAATTGATAATTTATAAGTTATTTGATTAGTAGTGTTTCAAATTGTTATAGTTATAATTTAATGGTGAAAATCCGACTCCTCTATAAATGCTGATAAAAAATTCTATATTTTCTTAATCCACAAAAACATTTATAAAAATATATATATATTTTTATTCACTTTACTCTGTAATAAATAAAGTATAAGAGTGTTTAAATAAAATCATTTTTAAAAATTCCAGTTATCAGAAATATTCAAATAGATAATAGTTTATCTTTTTTTTTCTTTCTTTCTTTTAACTTTGCTCTATAGTAAGATATTTATTTTCACCTCACCCTTTTAATGTTCATGAATTTGTTATCTTGTTAATCAATGTAAGTTCATAGCTCAAAATTTGCTATAGTAAAAACAACTTTCTCTTTTGTACCTTAATGCTTGAATAATTTACCTCTGATTACAGCGTAAATGCTGAAACTCCATAAAATAAATTTTTAATTTACTTTTCTTACTTCTGGGTTACTGTGTATATCCTAAATCCCATTTATTTATTTCTTAAAATTTTCAACATTGACCGTTTTATGACATTCTATTATAAAATAAAAAATATTGACCAAGATTTTTTTTTTTCACCCAAAGAAATTAGTGTTCCTTTGAAAAATAACTGTTTTATTAATCTTTAATTAATTTATTTAAAAAAACAAATTTCTATTTCAGACTTAAGGAACACGTGTCTGTTGAACACAATCCACCTATATTAATATTCCCTGAAGGAACGTGTATAAACAATACTTCTGTGATGCAATTTAAAAAAGGTAGTTTTGAAGTTGGAAGTGTTGTGTATCCGGTAGCAATAAAAGTAAGTTGTTCTTATATAATTATTTGTCTTGCATTTTTATATATTTTCATTAAAGAACACTTTATCTTTATATTATAATTGGAAATGTAATGTTTTAGCATAAAAACATTTTTACTTTGTGGAAGCAGTTAATGAATTAGTAGTAACAAATAAAAATTAAAGCTTGATAAATTTACAAAATTTTCTATCTTATTACATGATAGCAGTAGTGAATCCAAGATTTAGTATTTTTTTTTTAGTGTTTTACATTTTTGTAATATGGAGTGATAATTGGTTGTTGTTGATATAATGAAGAGAAGTTTATTGGGGTTTGCAGGCAAACAAATAACAAAATAAAGTAAATCAATTATATTTATGCTGAGGTTTCAGCCCGAGTTTCACGGCTGTTCTCGACAAAGGTGGTGAAAGACAGACCAGACCGTAAGACAGAACAAACTAATGCTTTTAGTTAAAGAATGTTTGTTTTTTTTTTTTCACATGTTGTAGAAGTACTACAAAATAAAAAACATATTGTGATTTAATAGAATCACTTCCAGAAACAAATATAAGCTAATGAAAAAAAAAATTTATATTTTTTCAATTTTAGGGAGAGCGTCAATCTGAATGCCCCTCTTTGAATCCGCCTGTGCATGACCGTAATGTTGAAAACTATTGAGGAAACTTTTTTATTATTATCTTGTATTTCCTCAGCCCTGTTGAAGGCCTGAAACTTAAACTAAAATGATGGCACAATATAAAATACTTTTTTTATATTTGTGTTTCTTATTGATTGCAAGTGCCAACAAACTTTCCAACCGTATTTTTTAGTAAACGTTTCTTCACTATTATGAAAAACGAATAAGGAGTTGATCGGGGGCTGGGATCAAATAAATACTAAATTGTAAGAATGTGATTGAAAAATCATATTCTTACAATTTAATATTTACTTGACCACTCCCCCGACCAACTCCATCTTCATATTATATCACGGTCAATCATCTCTACACTATTATGAAAAATTTTTTTTTTTAATATATAAAACATTTAGGAATTTAATAGATAATATTTGCCTTGTTAATAATTAAGTGTTACTAAAAATAGTTGTAAATTGAAAAGAAAATCATTTATATTTTAGAATATTTTTTTTTTTTTTAAGAGAGAGTAGTTAATCCTTCAAGTTAGCACCCTTCTGTTTTTTACCTTGCCCATTATTTAGGTAGTGTCAATATTTTCTTACTGACAGTTGAGTAATATTTTCTTTACTGTGTTGCAAGAAAGTTCTCTGCTTGGAACCTATCTCATGACCTCATTATAATATTCTTTTCCCAACTATCATTTCATTGTTTTTTTTTCCTGTTTTTTTATTTTATTTTTTTTTAAACAGTAAATTACTAAGTTCTGCAATTGTGTATATGTGTTTTTGATTAAAGTGTAAAATGACTAAAATCTATTCAAATCTATCGTTATATTTTTAAAGTTCTTTAAATCTGTTTTTTTTATGTCAAAATTTAATTTAATCTTTATGAAGAAATGAAGAACTAATAGTTAAAAAATATCATTGAGAAGTTAGATGTCGCGGTCAAAGTGATAAACACAAATAAAAATAAATACTTTTTTTTTTAATTTATGCCATTTTAGCCTGAGTTTAAGGCCTTCATCAAGGCTGAGGATAGACTAAATATTATGAGAAGAGATGTAAATTAAATAAGTGTTATCTGTTCATATAATAATAAAAAATTATGTTGTATAAGATAAATTAAAGTATATAAATATTTTATGTAAGGGTAAAGCATATAAATATAAATAACCTATAATAATAAGTACATTTTTTTAAATTTTAATTTAATCTAATATTTTACTTATATTTTCATGCTTTACCATTATATACAATACTTATATATTTTAATTTATCTTAGCATAGCCTAATTTTTTGTTTTTATAATGGTTTTTAATTTTTACTTTCACTTCTCTATATATGTAATATATAGTAAGGTAAGGGTAAGTATTGCGATTGTGAAAAGTTTTGAATCTGAGTTTTCAACGGAAATACACGTTTTGAGGTTCCCTGAGTCCAAATAACCAATTCCCGCAAAACGGTCTGTGTTTATGTATATATGTGAACAGCCTAGCTCAAAAACGAAAAGCCGTACGAAACTGAAATTGCATATTTGAGGTTTTTATAATCCTTGGATGTTATAGCAACGTTTTCGTCAAAATCGGTTAACCGGAAGTGGTACTTCATATAATTGATTTAACACATTTTTACGATTTTCTCAAAAACGGCTCTAATGATTTTGATTAAATTTAGTATATCAGTGTATTATTAAGCAGTTTTTAATAAAATGTAGGTTTTATTCTCATGGATGTTCTCCAACAGGGCTTAAATGGCTAATTTTCAATACTAGCTTCTTCTAAAGTACCTTTAATTTTTTTTTATTTGAAACAATTAACCATTTTACACTAATCTTTGATACAAAAAATAGTTGGATATAAAATATGAAAGAATTTGATAATTAACTAAAGGAGGTGTAAGAGATTGTAACAGATAATAATAATGGACGAACCAAAGGAATATGAGGGGGTCCGAGCTCGCTCGAAAGAGTTCAACAACAGGCTACCATATGTAACATGAGCTTAATATAATACGGACTCCAACAATATTATGTACATATACACATGCGGTTTTCATAAATGCTATCGTTGGTATTATTTAATATTTAATTGTATAGCATACAGCGATATAAAAATTAAAATTTGTCTATATAAGGGTATTTAAACAAATAAAAATACCCACAATGAAATGTAAATATAGCATCTATAATTTTTACTTTCACTTCCCCTTTGCCTGAAAATACTTATTTCTGCTAAGAAGAGGGTGGTAAGCGAAAGTTGTGTGATATGCGCACCAGATTTTTTTGTGGTAGTTATCTTGTCTTTCCTCAGCCTTGATGAAGGGCTAAAACTTAAGCAGAAACGTTGGCACAAATAAGAGCCAGTTAAGCAGGGCATATTACTTTAAATTATCTAAATAACTATCAGTTTATTCACTACGAGTATATGTAACACTCCAACAACTTCACTCCAACAAGTTAATAAGTAGAAAGTTTACTATATTTTTTAATCATAACATTATGTAGGGTCCTAGTGTTCATAAAATTAACTTATGTAAACAACTGTTGAATTTGATTCACTATGTGTATAGATAACACTATTTTTTAATGTAATGATTTCCTCATTTCATAAACTCTTGATTACATTTTTTCTGTAATTTATTATCTTTTGCTTTCAATTTTCATTTAAATCTCTTATCTAGTAGCTCTGTGACATGAAAATTGATTTTAAACTAATTTAGTAATGAATTTTCTATTCTCAGAGGCTTTCATTTAGTTAAAAAAAACTAAGCAAAATAATCAGTTACAAGGTTATCATGAGAAGTCATCGTGTTTTGTTTTTTTAATCTTAATCATGAATTTTATATTTACTATGTTCCAATGTAATAAATCCAAAATTTTGCTTTCTATAATTATCTATTTTTAGTAATGATTTTCTTTCTTTTTTTTATAGTATGATCCAAAATTTGGTGATGCTTTTTGGAACAGCAGTCGATACTCCATGATGCAATATCTTTATTTGATGATGACATCTTGGGCAATAGTTGCTGAAGTTTGGTATCTTCCACCTATGACACAAGAGGAAGGCGAAACGGCGATTGATTTTGCTAACAGAGTAAAGGGAGTAATAGCCAAACAGGGAGGCCTCGTAGACCTGATGTGGTAAGTTTTTGAAAAGTTGAATTTATCATATGTCAAAAATTGACCGCAATGAAATGCCAATCTTTTGTTTTACAAAAAGTTTCAAATTTTTCGCATGACTTATTTTAATGACGCAATGCCACTGTTCAAGGACCTAAGCTTCGCCTGTCAGCTAATCACATCATCTTGTACTTGTGACCTCCTGTTATAACAACAGTAACCTTTTCTTTTTATCTCATGGTTGAATGAGATTAATTTATTTCTTTTATTAGACCTGTCCATACTTGATTACATTTGCGTTGTTTGTATTCTAAAATTATCAATTCTTCAGAACTTTGCCTTTTGATTTTCCTGTGATTATATGATCACGTCTTACATCAAAGAAGTATGCAGGTGTATCATACGAGGGGTACCCACGGGGTAAAAAAAAAAATGTTCCCAACTAGTTTGAAAAATGTGTAAATCAATGTAAAGTGGTCACATTGAGGAATGCAGGTATGGTTTGTGTGTAACATTAATCACTAAATACGCATAAGAAATAGTAACCTTACTGTTTTTCTTTCACCCTCGTACAGCCATACTTCGTTGTTGGTATTAAAATTGTTTTTTTCTTAACTAATAGTTCCAAGCTGTTGAATTGCCTGAACTTCTGCTGTCGATTCACACTAGGGACTTATTTATTTTCTGTCTCAGTCTAATATGAAAAATTTTAGAAACAAGTTTGAAATGAAGAGAAAAGATTCTAAAAAATAAAAACATAATAATTTGTAAGATTGAACTTATTTTGTAATATGATAAATAATGAGAATTTTTGTTTTTTATAGGGATGGTCAATTGAAGAGGATGAGAGCAAAAAAAGAATGGATGGAGAAACAACAAGAGGAGTTTAGTAAAAGATTGAAAGTTGAGTAATGTTGTTAAATGCGCAATATGTAATAATAATTGTACATACACAAGAGTTCCTGGAGAGGAAATTATTTGAAATAGTCATGATTAATTTAATATTTTTTTGTAATTATTGTTTTGTATATATGTCATTTAATGTGCACTAATGAATGCACCTTGTGTATATATGTAAATGTATTTTGTTAAATATTTTTTATAATTTTTGTTAAGTCGGTGAGGATAGTGAAGTATTCTGTTGATGCGTATGGAGTTTGTATTTTATTTAGTAATTATTTTTATTTCAGTAAATTTATCTTAATAGAAAGAATACTAAGTGTTCTTTCTTTAAGAAAAATGTTTCATCGCAAAATTATGATGAAAATCTGCTATAAAACTAATACTACAGCAGATGAAGATGTTTGATTGGCATGTATGGAAGGGAAAGTTGAAGGTTAATTATATTTAAAATTTGTTACTTCATAGATAAATTATTTGGTTTTAATCATCTCATTTTAGATATATAATTGAATAAAATTTATAGCTGTTTTACAAATTGTGTTTAATTATTATTATTAAAGTAATTTTTGATTAAAGAAATATGTTGAAAAATTCATTTGTGGCTTCTCAGTTACTCAGTTATTTAGGAATATTTATTTTTTTCTGCCTTTTAATTTAAATTATAATTAATTTTTTTTACAAAACTGTGCTGATAAATTATATAAAATAATAGTTATATTTTTAGACTCCCAAATTTATCATATCAGAATTTTTTCTGAAATCAGTTGATAAATCAATTAAATGCTGCATTTCTAAAGTTAGAGAAAAAGTATATAATATATTTTAAGCTAATTATTTTATGAAATCTGTTCCCAGCTGCGTTAGAATGCAGTTTAATTGCCAAAATAAGGAATGAATTAAAACATAGTTTTATATTAGCTTTCCCTTCTTCAAAAATAAATTACTTTTAGAATAGCATGTTAAAATTAGAATATAACAGTTTATTTATTAATTTATATTTATTAGTCATGAATAATAAGTCTGATAATTAGACATATGTACAATAAGTTAATAAATTAAAAATATCTTATCGAATGATTTTATTTTATGTAATATATTTTTCTGCCAGTTTAATTTTATTTACATATTTTGAAAATATGTATATTTTAGTAAAGCTATTTTTACTTACAATTATTAACAAAAAATAATGCCTTGTATAGCAAATATCATGGAATAATTGTGTTGGTATCAACTTAAGTTTTGCACAATATATTTATTTTGATTGATTGCATACTCTTTTTCATAAGAATTTCCTTTTGTATAAAACATCGAAGCATATTAATTAGTATTAGCTTTTATTTTTCATTTTTATATTTAAGTAATTAAGATTGCAAATTTAGTTGAACCATTAGTTTATAAGTTAAACGATGCAATTAGATTATTTAATAGAAACAAATGAAATGTTATCTATTGTGTTATAACATTTGATGTACTGTGATTAAATTTCTATTATTTTCCTTATTTTTTTTTCTAATATTATTAAAGTGAATAGATTTAAACCATGGACTTATTGGAATTAATGTTTATTGAATAATGAAAAATATAAACCAAATAAGCTCTCTTCTACTTTGTGAGCAGCAGTAACAAATATAAAATTTGACAATAAAACTATGCCACGATATTACCAAAATGTGAAGAAAAAAAGTGTTATTAATTTATTGTAGACAAATCCTGAACAGCAGAATAAAAGTTATTTATTTCTTAAAGTTATAATTAAATAAAATATTTGAAAAACTGTTTTTTTTTTATGATGTAATATTTACTTCATTTAATTTTTTTTCAAACCACATCATTACTTTAAGAAGGTAATTGGCCATAATTTGTGAAAACTATTAGGAAAAAGTTTAGTTTTAGATATATATATCAATATAAAATGTAGAAATATTTTGAGGAAACCAAGATGAAAATCATTCTTAGATAGTCTGAATTACCGTACATCCTTTTTACTTTCACTTATCTATATATGAAATTTATAGTTAGAGAAAGTATGATTGTTATAATATTCTAATTCTAGTTTTCAACGGAATTACATGATTTGATGCCCTCTGACTCCAAATAACCAATTCTCGAAAAATGTGTGTTTGTATGTGAAGAGTCTAGCTCAAAAATGAAAAGTGGAACAAAACAGAAATTTGGTATTTAAGGTTCCTATATGTCAGATATTACAGGAATGTTTCTGTCCAAATCAGCTAACTGGAATTATCTCTATATATAATTTTTTTTGTATATTTTTGCAATTTTTTTGAAAACGGTTCTTATGATTTTGATTGAACTGAATAGATCAATGCATTTTTAAATGATTTTTAACTTAAGGTAGGTTTTATCCTCACAGGGCTTGAAAAACAAATTTTTATACTTCCTCTATATATAAAGTATCCCTCATTTTACTTATTTGAGATAATTAACCAATTCAAATTATAACCTGGAATAAAAAATGGTTAAATATAAACTATGAAAGAATTTGATAATTAAATAGAGGAAAAATAAGGGATTGTAGTAGAACCAGAGAAACCCGAGCTTGGCTGAAAGGTCAGATTATACTTCCAAAAGTATCAGGGGCTCAGATAATAGTGTATATATGTGCAGTTTCCATAAATGCTGGTGTTAGTTTTTTTAAATATTTAATTGTATAGATTACAGCAATATAAAAATTGATATTCATGTATATACCATTGATTAAAGTATCGCTTTTGTCAGACGAAAAAATATTTTGTGGCACTTAAATAAAGAAAACATATAGTCATAAACAGGAAATATTTGCTGTGCTCAGTGCACCAGATTTTTATTTTAGTAAGTGAAGTTAAACTTACTGTGGCCTAAAAGAAGACAGATAAAAAAAAGTATTTTAAATAAAAAATCGAGAGATAGTAAAATTCAACAAGAGTATTTTTCTAACTAAATAATTATCAATAGATTATTATTTTTCTATTTTGCCCATAAGTTAGTTTGTTATAGATTTATATGATTTATTATAAGTTTGTTTATTTCTCCCTAGGCCTTTTCTTTATTGATTAAGACTAATAAAAAAAAAATCAATTTAATATATGATTAATCCAATATATAATTATGAATTATGCTTTATAAATATTTTTTGTTGTTTGTCTTAATGTATTGATTCAGAACGATTTTCTGGACTACTGCTTAAAAAACTTTTCAAGTGGTATATGAATGCATAAAATTCTCCTCTGGTCATTCAAAACCAGCTATTGCTTTGCCTTGTAGATTCAAGATGGAAGGGCTTTCGACTGAGCACAAATTTAAAAAGCACTCTTCCTCCTCAAAGAGAAACATTTTTTCTACTTAAATACTTAACCTTAAATACTTACTTTACTTATGAAGATAAAGCTGAGGAGTTCGCCATTCACCTATCCAATACATTTATTTCACATCCGGAATCCCATCCTGCCCACACCGTAACAGTAGAAGAACTCCTTACATCACCAATCCCACTTTCCTTGCCCCCAAAAGCTATTCATCCTTCCGAAGTAAAATTTCAATTAAAAAAACTAATCCTCCGTAAAGCTCCTGGACATGATCTCCTTACACCTCAAATCCTTCGACAACTTCCATCCAAAGCAGTCATATTCCTTACATATATCTACAATTGTATCCTACGCACCACCCACTTCCCTCTGTTATGGAAACACTCCACTATTATCCTTTTCCCAAAACCAGGAAAACCTCTCAATAGCTCAACATCCTATAGACCAATCAGCCTACTCCCAATCCTTTCAAAAATTTTTGAAAAGATCCTTTTGAAACGAATCCTACCCATTATAGAATCCCAAAATATCCCTTCCCATCAGTTTGGTTTTCGCTCTCAACATTCTACTGTTCAACAAGGACTCCGAGTCGTTGATCATATTTCCTCAGCCCTAGAAAACAAGGAATACTGTTCGGGTGCCTTTCTGGACATTGCACAGGCATTTGACCGGGTATGGCACTCCGGACTGCTCTCCAAGCTTAAAATCCATTTACCTCAGTCCTTGTACCTAGTCCTCCGATCCTACCTCTCTGACCGCTCCTTTCGAGTTCGCTGTGGAACAGAATTTTCCAATATCTACTCCGTTAAAGCCGGTGTTCCCCAAGGCAGCGTCTTGGGTCCCGTGCTTTACATCCTCTTTACTGCTGACATCCCTGTTCATCCCGATACTTTTCTTGCAACATTCGCTGACGACACCGCAATCTTATCATCCAACTCTGATCCCGAAATAGCATCCTTAAATCTCCAAAGTCATCTCACCTTGATTGAGCACTGGTGTAATAACTGGCGCATTAAAGTTAATGAATCTAAATGCCAACACATTACTTTTACACTCCGACGCAATTCCTGTCCACCAGTACTCTTTAATTCCATCCAGCTTCCTTATTCAGACACAGTTCGGTATCTTGGCTTTCATTTAGACCGAAGACTAACTTGGAACCCGCATACTAGACTCAAAAGACAAGAACTCAACCGACGATACGGCCAACTATACCGACTACTAAGCAGAAAATCTAAACTTTCCATTGAAAACAAGCTACTGATCTACAAGACAATACTGAAACCTATTTGGACTTACGGACTAGAACTGTGGGGATCAGCAAAATTTTCTAACATCAAGCGCATCCAATCCTTCCAGTCTAAAGTCCTTCGAACAATAGTCGATGCTCCTTTCTATGTATCCAACAAAACCCTACATCATGACCTTAACATCCCATTTGTCCTAGACCTTATCCCAGAAAAGTTCTCCAAATTTCACCAGAACCTTACTTACCACCCAAATCCTCTTGCACAATCCCTATCAAGCATCTCCCATCCCTATAATCCTCCAAGAAGGTTGAAACGGCAGTGGCCTCGCGACCTTTTGATTGTATAAATTGGAGTTCTGGCAATGGCCAGATTCTTCACTCAAGACATGTGTGTATGTGGCTAAAGTGCTCTCGACCAATCTCCGCTGGCTTTAGTACCAGTGACGCGGTTGGAAGAG